TCTCCTGTGGGTATGTTCCAAAGATCCTGGGTGAGCACTCACCACCAAACATTTTCCAGGCTGCTGGAGTCTGTCCACTACTTCAAGAAGGCTTTGCAACTTGTGAGGCGGGGCCAGCAGCCCAGTAGTCAAGAATGTCCTGGGCAATGTAGCACCAGCTATGCAGGGAGGTGGGAACCCAGGGTGTCACCAAGGTGGTGCACACACGTGGATTCCACCAGACCACTGCAGTCCCAGACTTGGCCCTTTGGGGAGGAATCAACACAGAAAAGATGGTTCCCTCCCGTATTACTTGTGTCTCAGACTCCACACAGTAACAATAATGGCTGCTATCCCTCCAGCCCTTGCTCCAAGCCACACAACTCAAATCTTTCCTCAAGTTGCACCCCTCCACCAGACCAGGTGAGTGTTTGCAAGCAAGTGAGTCTGTGTGCAGGCTCTATAAGATGCCATATGGGTTTCGAGCTGCCTTCTGTCTTACCAGGATGTACAGAGTCCTCACTGATTTTCACTGCCAGATGCCATGAGAACTCCTCTTCCCGGCACAGGACCCTTACGCTGGGGACCCCTCCCTCTTCAGGAGGGATCTCAGCCACCAAGGGTTCCCTCCCAGTGTTCGACCAGTATCTGGGGTTTGTGGTCAGCCCCTTTTGCATCTCTCTCCCTCCTACCCATCTCAAGATGGCCTCTTCTTTATACCCTTAGTTACAGGGTTTCTTTTCAGCTAGTCTTCAAATGAATTTTGAGGTTGATTTTACTGTAATTTATTTGTAAATTTGGTGTCATCCTGGGATGCAGTAGGCATAGTGTTTACCTAATCTGCCATCTTGGACCTGATTCAGATTTATATTATTTTATGCTTTGTCTTTCATTGTATACCAGAATTAAAATTAATGCACCAGCAAAATACTATAGGATTCTATATTTGTCTTTACATTTATCTTTACCAGAGTTAAAAAAAAATTTGTATGCTTTCATGTTACTGTCTAGTATCCTTTTGTTTCTATTTGAAGAACTCCTTTCAGCAATTCTTGTAGGGTAGGTCTAGTGGTGATTAACTCCCTCAGTTTTTGTTTGTCTGGGTAAGTCTTAGTTTTGCCTTCATTTCTGAAGGACAATTTTGATCAATATAGTATTCTTGATTGGCAGAGTTGTTTTCTTTCAACACTCTGAATGCATCTTCCCACTCCCCTCTGACATGCAAGGTTTTTGCTGAGAATTCTGCTGATAATCTTAAAAGAGTTCCCTTGTACATGAGTCACTTTGCTCATGCTTTTTTCAAGAGTCTGCCTTTATCTGCAACTTCTGACAGTGTGATTATAATGTGTCATGATGTGGGTCTTGAGATTTATACTAGTTGGAATTCATTAAGTGTCTGGAATTTGTATGCCATTTCCTTCCTCAAATTTGGGGAGTCTTCAGCCATTATTTCTTTAGATAAGCCCTCTGCCCCTCTCTCTCTCCTCCTTTTGAATTGTAAAATGCATATATTGCTCTGCTTGATGATATCACATAAGTCCCATAAGCTTTCTTCGTTTTCATTCTTTTTTTGTTGTTTCTCCATTGACTCAAATTTCATATGACTTATCTTCAAGTTTGCTAATTCTTTCTTCTGCTTGATCAACATTGTTATTGAACACTTCTTGTTTACTTTTCAATTCCGTTATTTTATTCTTCAGCTCCAGAAATTCTGTTTGGTTCTTTTTTATAGTTTACCTCTCTTTGTTGATATATTTGCATTTTGCTCATTTGGTTTTCCTGATTTTGTTTACTTGTCTGTGTTCTCTTTTAGCTGACTGACCATCTTTTAGAAAGTTATTTTGAATTCTTTGTCAGGTACTTCCTAGATCTACATTTCTTTAGAGTCAGTCTTTGTTGTTGTTGTTGTTGTTCCTTTGAATGGGCTGTTTCCCTGTTTCTTTGTATTCCTTGTGATCATTTGTTGAGATTTGAATAGTGGAAAAAATAGCCACCTCTCCCAGTCTTTACAGAATAGCTTTGTAAAGGAGAAGGCCTTCACCACTCAGCCAGGCAAAAAATTCTGGGGGCCTATCAAACCTTTTCTGGGGATGTGCTCTCTCTGGGTTGATGTATATACTTTCCAAGTTAAATATGTTTGCTCCAGCTCTGAAAAGCCTATAATCCCTTGCTCCTCCTGGTGTCTGCCTGCAGTATTGTGTCTTTCACCTTGCTCTCAGCAGCCCCAACATGGCATCTAAAGTATACTACCATTTCCTTCACCACTCCAAGTCAGGAGAAACAAAAACCAATCTCTCAAGTAGCCTCCTAAAAACCCAGAACATTACATACATGTTCTGCTCTCCTCTTCCCCATTCCCTCTGAGGAAGACGTGAAGAATTAGGAGTTTTCTTCTGATCACACCATACAATGGAAAGGGCTATGACAAGCAAATGCAATGAACTTTCTTATCCACTTCAATGCAGCTCTCCTTGGCTTTCTGCTTGCCTGGGGTACTACAACCACTTATCTGATTTCTGGAGTTCTCAGTAAGACATTTTGGTCTATATATTGTTACGTCAATGCTTCCATGGGCAAATGAGGTCTCCGGGCTTCTTATTCCACCACATCACTGATAAAATTCCCAAATTACCTATAACTTTTGTCATCCAACATGATATAACATTTAGGTATGCACCACTGAATGAGATTATTAGTTCCTAGGCTACAATGTAAATGCCATAGTTACCTTTATAATTTACTTTCAAGTAAGTTTGCTTTCAGCAAGTAAGTTAATACTGCTATTTGGCAATGTGGGCTCCTCAAGGATAAGGGTTATCTTTTTGTTATCCCTGTTATCACACACACAATAGCTCATACATAAAGTTAACTATCAAATAAAACCTGCTTAATGAATGTTCTAGTAGGACTTTTGAATACTTGCCTTGAGAATAAAGGTCACTTTCGTTTTGAAGGACTTTTTGTTTCTTTTTTTAAAGCTAGTCATGATCTGTATATATGCATCCAGATTCTTTTAAGGAGCTAATACCAATGCTCCAATGTAACACCAATCCTTAATATTGTTTCTTTTTTTTCTCACTGAAAAAAAAATTATCTAAAGTCTTTATTCAAATTTCCTTAGTTTTTACCTAATGTGCTTTTTCAGTTTCAGGATACTACATTACATTTAGGCATCATGTCTCCTTACTTAGTCTCCTCTCAAATTGGAAAGTTTCTCAAACTTTCTGTTTTTTAATGACCTTGGAAATTCTGAAGAGTACTGGTGAGGTATCTTGTAGAATGACAATCAACCAGAATTTTTCTGATGTTTTTCTCAGATTGTGGTTATATGTTTTAGAAAGGAAACTGAGAAGTAATAGGCCATTCTAATTACATTATATCAAGGGTACATGCTATTAATATAACTTATCACAGTTGATATTGACCTTGATCACCTGGCTTAGGTAGTGTCTGTCTGGTTTCTCCAGTGTAAAGTTACTCTTTTTTCCCTCCTTTCCATATTATACTTTTTGGAAGGAAGTTACTATATGCAGGACATTGTATTTCTGAAGAAACTTAGCCTGTTATCTTGTAGAGTATTCCATATTCTAGTTTGCTTGATTTTTTTTACTGGTGTCATTTGTTACTTCACTCTATATTTCCTGTGAAGTGAAAGTGTGGTTTAAATCTCAGTTGTACATCATGCTAGATAGCTTGTAATGTCATAATGATCCATATTAGCAATCATTTGGTTAAGATGGAAACAGTAGAGGTCTTCATTGTAAAGGGACTTTTTTTTTCTTTGCAATTAGCAAGAAATCTGTGGGACATACTTTGGAATCTTAGACTTCATCCATGGACATCTGTGCTACAAAAAATACCACACAGGACCCCATGACCCCAAAGCTCCCCAATCCTCTCACTCACTTCAATAGTTATTCATTCATTCATTCATTCATTCATTCATTCATTCATTCATTCACCTGTTAGTGTGACACACATCTATTGAATACCTAGTAAGTTCTAGGCCATCTTTAGGTTTACCTGCTGGGGCTGCAAAAGGGTAAATATAGACTTTTTCCTACAGGAGCACAGTCCAGTGCTAGGGAAAGGCAATCAAGAGTTTCAATAAAGTGTGATCAGTCTACACTGGTGATAACCACAAGGTGCTTTCTTTGATAATTTTCATTATAATTGTTCATGATATTTTGTTCATATATCAGTTTCAATAGCAAATGTTGGGGGGTGGGAAGTCTGTAATTTAAACTTTCTGTAACTAGCTCTTTTAACCCCTAAACATTCTAATTAATTTTAGTTGCCTCCATAGAGGGACTTATATAGTTACTCTAAAAATCTCTGGAGGACAAGATAATTCAGAGGAACAAATGTGGACTTCAGAGCCCATAAGGATTGAATCCAAATCTCTATCTCCCATTCAGGAGTCATGTTACTAGTTTTGTGACCTGGCACAAATTATTTATCTCCTCTTAGCACTAATTTAGCAAGAAATCTGTGAGATATATATAAGCTAGAGAAAATACCTATCTCTAAGGATTTCTTGGAGGATTAAGCAAAATAACATATGAAGTGCTTACCAAAATTCCCAAGTTCCTGGCATATAATAAATATTTAATAAATGGTGTTCTGCTTAAAACACAACAAAAACTACAAAGTATGCATATAAAACAATTAATTGCTCTGATCTGGGCACTTTTCCATTAGTAATATAAATATCACATAAATAAATAATATCATGATACTAATATGGGTGGAAACTAATTCATATTTTAATTAGAGTAAAAGAAGCTGCCAAGTCTCAAACTAAAGTTTGAAAATTACCACCCATCCCTCTGCCCTGTTGGCCCTCCACCCAGCCCTTATATGTGCCTGCAGTACTGAGGGAGGAAGGGGTTGGGAGCCCTTTGGACCAGTAATATATCTGATATGGGGTTAAACTTTAAAGGCATAAAGATGGCACCATAGAAATCTTAGAAGCAGCAAGTAAGAGAGTCTATGCCCTAGACAGACAGAACATACATCACCTTTCTGCTCAGCCAGCTCCCACAGGTCCTGAGCTGCTGCCCGAGACAGTGTCATAGGATATTCAACAAGGATGTGCTTGCCCGCATTAAGGAACTGCCTTTGAGAACAAGAGATAGAGAAAATACACTTCAAACAAACTTCACTAAAATGCCCCACAGGAGAGTACAGAATGTTATAAATGCACAAAAGTCTGTGTGTGTAAATCTGTCATGCAGGTAAGAGTCAAGGCCACAGGATAAGGAGAATCAATTGTACCTCACATTATTTTTTACTATACAGTAGAGAATGACTTTATAGTTATGTGTTAATTTGAACATTCAGTTATTTATCCACTCACATACTCAACTAGGTACTATTTACCAGTTACTCTGGAGGAGAAATAAAGACACCTTAACAGGTAAATTGCTTGTTACTACATGAATTCAAATAAAGACTACAAAACCCATGGCAGCTAGCTCTGCCTGAGGCAGTCTGGAAAGATTTCACTAATGACAATTGAACTGACTCTTTAGTATAAGAAGGCATTTTCCAGGTACAACTGAATGATGGAATTTCACTTAGAGCAGCACATGTAGGGCATTTTTTGGCTTTTTCATTTGGACAATGGTGCGAATTTCAGCATGGCAGGGGAGTAGGCTACAGGGAGTAAAGGAAAATGAGGTCATAAAAGTAGCTGGGAGCCTGAATGTTGAAGGACTTAGAATGCTGTGCTCAGAAGTTTGGATTTTATTCTCTAGGTATTCTAGAGTATAAATATTTACAGTTGACTCAAACAATGCGGGGTTTAGAGGCAACCTCCCACAGAGTCTAAAATCCACATATAACTTTTGACTTCCCAAAATCTTAACTATTAATAGCCTACTGTTGACTGGAAGACTTATCAATAACATAAACAGTTGATTAACACATATTTTGTATGTGCATTATATACCATATTTTTACAATAAAGCTAGAGAAAATGTTACTAAGAAAGTTATAAGGAAGAGAAAATACCTTATAGTATTGTACTGTATCAATACTATAAGTTTATGTCACCTGTATACAAGATGAATCATCTATCAGTACCTACACCAATATTGTCTTATATGATACAAAATACTGTAGATGTTATATGTATTACTAACACTAGACATCAAAAATGAAAATATGTGAAAAGTAAATTCATATTTATTTACAGCTATAACAATTCATGCATTGATAACAAAGAAGCAACAATATGATTGGTTTATGGTAGGCCAGTGTAATGAATATAATTGCTTCATGGTAGCCTAGACTATACACCAATGAATGAGTCATAAAATTTTTATGGCATACAGTATTACAGTCATATTCATAATACAGTATTGAAAACACTGTTACACTTTTTAAAAAGACAATTACCTATGATGATAGGCTGATAGGCAGTTTCTCCAATTATGAGAGGTATACTATACAATAATGTAATTCTTTGAAAGCAGTTATAAACCAGTAAGAACACTAACATTATTAATTCAATATTACCACTGACCTTATGCTTATGTAAAGATAGGCTATCCACTTCCATACAAGTCCCGCAAAGCATGTTCTACATGATGAATACTCAGGGGATGATGATGATGATGATGATGATGATGACAAAAAAGACTCATGGAGTTCATGCCATACAATCATTAGATTTTCACATGAAAATGCTCACACACATACACAACAGATAAGTTTATTAACTGTACAGCATGATGATTATTTACTATTCATTAAGTGGGAGTGTATCATCATAAGGGTCTTCATCCTCATTGACTTCACATTGAGTAGGAAGAGAAAGAAGAAGAGAAGGGGTTGGTTTTGCTGTCTCAGGTGGCAGAGGTGAAAGAAGTGGAGGAGGTGGAAGGAGAGGCAGTTACTCAGTGCAGCTTTCTGGAAATACAAAGAAATTTGTCTGATGTTTTTGCTTTTTCATTTCTCTAATGTTTCTATATGGTACCAATGTTCATTCACAGTTTGCTTTAGTTTCATTGTTCATGTCATAGAAGGGTCCATGTCATAAAAGAAGTCAAAAGCAGTCTTGAATAAGGAACCCTTCTGCCAGACTGTCTAATGTCAATGTGTTTTCTGACACGCTTCTTCCATGTCTTCTTCCTCATCATTTGGCACTGGTTTGGAAGCACTCTTCTCACATCAAGGAGTCTTTTGTTAATTCCTCTGGTGTGGTGTCTATTAGGTCTTGAATTTCTCCAAGATCCATATCTTCAAACCCTTCAACACCCCCCACACCATTTTATGCCATATCCAAAATCTCTTTCATAATTTTCTTGATTGGCTCTGTTGTAAATCCTGTGAAGTCATACATAACATCTGGACACAGTTTTCTTCAGCAAGAATTGATTATGCGGGCTTGACGGCTTTCACAGCTTTTTCTATACCAATGATGGCATCTTCAATGGTATAATCATTCAATACTTTCATGATGTCTTCTCAATTGGGGTTCTCTTCATAAGTGCTGACAATCCTTTCCATACAGTACCAGTAATGATCCTTAAAGTTCCTTATGACCACCTGATCTAGAGGCTGAAGTAGAGACATTTTTTTTTATTGGGGAATTGGGGGAAGGGGAACAGACAAGTTGCTGTCGTTTTGTTCTTCAATCTGGTTGTGGAGGATGTTGCTTCACTGGCCCAAGTTGGCACCATCATTGCGCTCTTCTCTGGCGAGGCAGATCAGTCGCCG